TATATATATATACATACATACACTTTTTTAATAGGCCGATGCTCGGAAGGAACACATGTACTGTGGGGGGCTTGAATAAGGGTGCAGGGCTTTTGGCCAATATGAGCCTTACTTAAACGCTTATGATTAGGGCTAATGCAAGTGTTACTATGAGGGCTATTAGAAGGAATGCTTACCAATATGATACGTCCGGGCTCGGTATTAAAACTATAGTATGATTGATGCAAGGGCCAGAGGGGCTGTGGGCTTAGGATTCAGGACTCTGCTGGCTACGAAGGTTCAGCTCAGAGTTTGGCGATATATTCGGCTTTTGGAAAGGCTGCGGGCGGGCTTGGGGGTTGAAAGGGATGAGCGCTTTTATGTGGCATCAGATTAATTTGCCTGCCCTGCGTCCCTTTTCGATGTTCGAGCGGTGTGGCGGGACTCATATGAACATCTCTGCAGATGTGTATGTGTATATATATATACACATGTATGTACTCATATAATGTGTATGTACATATAAGTTTTTGCATATATATATATATATACATATATATATATATATATTTATTTATTATATATAGATGTATGTATGTGTATATGTGCATACATGTATGTGGTTATTTGCACGCATATATATATATATATATATGCACTACTTATTCAGGCCTCTTGCATTGGACCGTACACCTTCGACCCTGGCTATACTTCAAGCCCCTGAGACCTAAACTCAGAACCCCGGACCTGCATGTAAAGAATCTTTATGAAACCCTCAATGAACCTGTGTAGAACGCTTACAAAACCCCTTTATGAAAACCCTATTGAAACCAAACCCTCAAACCTAAACCCTCAACCCTTTTTGCTAAACCCTAAACCGGAACCCGCATCAAAACCCCCTTAAAGCGAGGCACAGGAGGCCATGAGCCGCGTCCTGGAGACTCGGCAGTTTTAATGCTTACTCAAGGGCTCCGTTTTTGAGGCTTCTGCAAGGGTTCTATGGGGTTTACGGCTTACTTAAGGGCTCCTGCAAGCGTCCGATGGGGTTTTAGGTGTTCAGGGACTCAGTAAGTTTTAGGGCTTTATAGGAAGGAGGATCATGGGATTGTTTTTGGTCCCGAGACTTGTGCTCGTCATTAACCGGTCCGGTGCGCCGAATTCCGCTAGCCCAACCCTCAAAACCTACCGCACTCAAACCTTACCAATAAACCCTTTCGAAACCGGACTTGATGACTGCCAGCATTGCCTCTTCTGCCGTTCTTCAGCCGAGGCCCGAAAACGTCAGCACACAAGCACTCTACCCCCTAGGATAGGCACTCCACGTGACGACAACCGAATGTTGAAGCCAAACCTCCCTGACCACTTGTGGCGGTTCCAACAGCACACAATCCTGCACTTCGGGATCCACCAAGACGTCAATGTTAAACACATGCTTTGTCATGAGACAGTAGCCGGCCTGTAAACCCTAAACCCTAAACCCTAGAGCCTTACCAACTCGAAACTTTAGCTGAACTCCAACCCTAATCCTAACAGCTTTTGGGCCTCGCACTGTCCAGGGCTACAGCGCTGAACCCGCACCCTCAATTCTGAACCTGGATAAGCCAAACCCTTCTAAATCCAATATAGAAGCAATGTAACGATGCGTATAAGAAGTTCACAAGAAACAGCAACACGCTGGAATTAAAAAGCCCTGAAGCCTAAACCCAAAAGTCCGAAGTCCCGAAGCCGCTTGACGATAAAGGGCACGCCCAGCCCTAATCGAGCTCAGGAAACAGACCTGCTGCCCTTTAAGGGCTTGGTTGTCCGGGCCATAGCTTGGTGCACTGAGCAAAAGTTGCCGCAGGTTTCAGGGGTTCTAGCATGGTGTAGCGCATTTTTTATGGGACGTCGTAGGTTTTTGCGTTCTTGTTGAGGAAGTACCAGGGAGAGAAGACAATCCCTAAACCCTGAGATGACAGCGCAGCGGGTACCCACAGTAGAAGCGTCTCTGAATAATTAAGAGTTATCGTCCGCATGTAGCTCTTCCACAACATTCCCTGAAACCCTGTTCTTCTTGTTGGGGCCCATATCACAGACAGAGGTTCAACGCTGATCTAGGAGCCGGTCCTATGCTTTTGGGCGCTTCCGGTTCCGGGTTTAGGGTTTCACCACCGGCATGACATCGGATGGGACAGACAGAAGGTAGTATAGGGGCCTTAATAATTACCTATATTATTCTGGCGTTCCCTTATTATAATGGTAGTATAGTGGGCCCCAAAACCCTATTCTAATTATTAAGCCCCTATATTTCACTAGGGAGATGTAGCGAAGTCATAAGTCGGACTTAAGAGCGAAGCTGTTCGAAACGTCAATGAGGAACATGGGAAGGTGAGCGAATGTGGGAAGTCTCAGAGACGCCTTGACAGGTTTTTCGGTTGTATCAAGCATGCTGCTAGAATTACAGCAGCGAGCCCTAAGGCAGTAAGGAATAGTGCTACACATGTTCATGTTACATCATCGACATTATAACTGACGCGGCCTCCGGAAAGTTGAGCCTTCCCGGAGGGGGGCAGGGGGGTTATTTAGAGATCAAGTGCGATAAGAGTTGGCTGACCCTTTTAGAATCGGGGCCTCGACAAGCAGACTGAGTCCCAACATGCTTCATGGTGCCCGAAACCCACGCCCTGAAACCCCGAACCGTGCTGATGCTCTTCACACTCCAGACCTGCTCCTTGCCCCTGGCCGCCCAGGATCTGTCGCAGCTGCCAGTGTTTCACGAGTTGGAGTGGTCTCGCTCCGAAAAGTACAACATGCGCACAAAGCACCTCCGCTGAACCCTAGACAGCTCTTCCCTAAACTGGCAAAAAGAATCGCAGTCGCAATAGTAGAAATACTCGTGATGACAGCCGCAATCGTAGCAATAACAATAAATCGTAGTAGTCACCCTACACCCAACCCTAAGCCCCTAAACTTGACCCTAAACCCTAAACCCTAAACCCTAAACCCTAAACCCTAAACCCTAAACCCTAAACCCCAAACCCTAAACCCTAAACCCTAAACCCTAAACCCTAAACCCTAAACCCAACCCTAAGCCCTTAAA